GCTGTACTTTCAATGAACATCACTTTTTCTCTAAAGTAAAGTTATGTCTGGGAAAAGAGGGGGGGGGGGCTGTTACACTTCCTAATCAATCAGGACCCTCCCCCCCCCCCCCCCTCTTAACAATCTGTAAAACATTCATTATATACTAGATATACAGCTTTGAGATAATGTAAATGTATTTTTACATCAGGTAATGCACTTTTGGAATCAACATGATAAAGATTTAACACAATATAAAGCTATTTTTAGATCACATAAGAAAGAGTTGACATAACGTTATAATATATCCACATCACGGTATGGAGTTTTGACATAATGTAATAAAGTGTTGATATAATCTAAAGATATGTTCACATCATGTTATACACTTTTTACACCACGTAATAAAGCACTGACATGAAGGTAAGATGTGTTCACCTCATATCATGATGCTCTCGCCGTAAAATAAAGATAAGTCCATATCACGTAATAATGCTTTGATATAATAGAAATATACACTCTCAAAAAGGAATGGATTTTTGACTTCATGTAATGATAAGTTTAATTATAAAACACAATTTACTTGACGTAATGCAATTTTGACCTCACATATTAAAGAAACGAAATGATGTAAAGAAACATTCATTTCACGTAATAAAGTTTTAACTCAATATAAACACATTATCACTTCACATAATTAATTTTTTACTTCAAGTTATGAAGTGCTGACATAATGAAAGGATGTATTTACTTTATGTAATGCAGCATTGGCATGATGTTAAGATATTTTTCATCATCTCATAAAAAATTGACATAACGTAAAGATACGTTCACATCACGTTATGATAAATTGACATAATAAATGCATAGTTGTATGCTATAAGGCAGTGATGGCGTTCCATATACTTTTGTTAACTCTTTTTATATAGTCAAAAATTATCAAATATCTTGATGATAAATGACAATGAAATTGAAACATTACAACAATAACATTTTAAATTTGTTTCTAAATTTAAGCATTTATAAAAATATTTTTCTTATGATTTTTTACATGCTATCAATGAATTATTATACTGAACTATAACAAAAATAACTTCTCAGTTCCCATGTTCACTATCTAACACAACCATGCACAAAAAGATCGGCCGCGGTAGCGTCGGATAATAATTAGTCTTTCTGTTTACCATTACGAGCCTCCATACCCGTTACCATGCAGACAGAAATAATCTTTTTCTTCTTTAATTCCATAAACCCTTTCCAGTGCGAGTTGACAATTGCAACAAGCATTAATTTGTGCTCATTTGTGAGCAATAAGTGAGATTCAAACAGGCTTAAATACCCCCGCAATGATCGGTTGCTATGTTAAAAATGCAACTTCCGTTAAAAAAAGAGTGCTCGCATTATTAAACGCAACGGTAGAAAATTTATTAAAATTCAAAACATGAAAGCATGACAGTTTTTGTTCATTTTAATACCCACCATGACTTGCGGTTCAAACGCCTTGCATGTTATTGGATGAAACTGAGGGTATCCACGGCAGGAAATATAGCGTAATTTCACTATAATAGTGAGATACCACTATTATAGCGGAATTTACGTTTCCCCCCAACCTGGTTAGGTCACTTGATTTAAAAACACCAGGCAAGTGTCATATCTGTATATATTGCATTAATCATACTCCAAGGAAAACTCGGTAATCCGAGCACGGACCTACTGACCGCTCAGGTCCGACACGTTACAATATAAAATCGGGCACGCGATACCGTTCGAAGCGTTGTTATTGTAAGTAGAAATGGCGGCTAAGAAACGGTTTACGTAGGTAGTTTACATGCATGTAGTTAAATTTCTTGTTACCGTAACGATATTTTTAGCTCACCTGAGCCGAAGGCTCAAGTGAGCTTTTCTGATCAAAATTTGTCCGTTGTCTGTCGGCGTTGTCGTTGTCGTCGTTGTCGTAAACTTTTCCCATTTTCATCTTCTTCTCAAGAACCACTGGGCCAATTTCAACTAAACTTGGCACAAAGTATCCGTGGTTAAAGGGGAATCAAGTTTGTTCAAATGAAGGGCCACGCCCCCTTCCAAGGGGAGATAATTATGAATTTGTGAAAAATTTATGGCATTTTTAAACAATCTTCTCCAGAAGCGCTGGGCCAGGATAGATGAAACTCATGTGGAAGCATCCTCAGGTAGTGTGGATTCAAGTTTGTTCAAATCATGACCCCCGGGGCAAGGGTGGGGCCAAAATGGCCGACCCAAGTTTTACATAGGAATATATAGGAAAAATCTTTAAAAATCTTTTTCTCCAGAACCACTGGGCCAGGGAAGATGAAACTCGTGTAGAATCATCCTCAGATAGAGCAGATTTAAGTTTGTTCAAATCATGACCCCCGCTGCAAAGGTGGGGCCAAAATGGCTGACCCAAGTGTTACATAGGAATATATAGGAAAAATCTTTTAAAATCTTCTTCTCCAGAACCACTTAGCCAGGAAAGATGAAACTCATGTGGAATCATCCTCAGGTAGTGTAGATTTAAGTTTGTTCAAATCATGACCCCCGGGGCTAGGGTGGGGCCAAAGTTTTACATAGGGATATATAGGGAAACCTTTTAAAATCTTTTCAAGTACTTCAAAGCTATGATTAGTGATATTTATATGGAATCATCCTCAGGTAGTGTAGATTCTAATTTGTTCAAATGATGAACGCCTGGAGGGGGGGGGGGGGAGTAAATTCAAGCCTGATGTGCTCAGGTGAGCGCTGTGGCCCTTGGGCCTCTTGTTCATTGTTATTGGATTAAAACTTTCTATTTTCATAATATGCACAAATATTTTTTTTATATTGAAAAAGGTCTTCAGCGGGATAAATTCGGCTTCGCCTCGCCCAATACGGATTTCCATTTCACACCCTGTATGAATCCGTATTAGGTCACTAACTGACTGTGTAACTAATATTATCAAAATGACCTTGTTTTCAGGGCAAAATATCATAGTGACATTGACGAATAAATCTTCCTTCAAACATTCTGATGAGCACAGGAAATCCTTTCACGGTTTACATTGCGGCGTCGATTATACATATATTATATGGCTTCGAGGGCAGCGTACCAGAATATTTGCCCCAAGGTGAGAGGAAAGCCCTGGAGTGTTTTTTCGCCCGATGCCGCAGGCAGAGGGCGACATAACACTCCAGGGCTTTCCAGTAACCGAGGGGCAAATATTCTGGTATTGCTGCCCGAGAATTAAGCCATGTAATATATGGTATATAACATTTTTAAGCATTGAACCCAAATCGATCATCAAACATATTTTTAACACTATGTACACATATTTACGTTGAGTATAATATTCCGAAATATCCCGTCTTGTTTCATGGCAGAATGTTTTCAGTATGCTGACACTTGTGTTGATAACCTTTGTTGTATTTAAAGAATTTTTCTCCTCAAATAAATTATTTGATTCCTCTGAATTCAAATAAAGAAATCGCAGACGTTGTTTCGATTTTTAACTTTCGCGGAACTGTTTACATTTGCTTAGCAACTGCCTCTGTTAATTTCGAACCCGACGTAATTAATATGCAGAATGATTGCACGCGAGGAAACATAACTGTGTTCGGGAGGGGAACATAACTGTTTCCGGGGAACATAATTGTATCCGGCGTGATTCGGCAGTTTTTCGGGGCATATGGATAAAAATATTATATTTGTGATATAATGGGAAAACTTCTTTAAAAATGTTATATATATACATTTATTGACTGCATTCGAAGACAAGATGTCCTTTACCAAGACTTTGTCTGTTGTAATTAGGCATAGGGAAACAAGGTGTTTGGGTTAGAGCGAAGGCAACTATTTTGGGTTGTGAAATCGTTCATTTTTTTCGAATTTCCGAATTTCATTTAACTAGATACTCAAAATTTGACACAATAAAATGAAATAAAAAATAGCAAACGTGAAAACATTAAAGCGGCTCATTATCTCATACTATTTAAGAAATAAAGTCCGCGTTTTCGTGAATGTTGCAGAATAACCTACGAGGTCGAGAAATGTTGTTTGAAATATAAAAGCCGAGGCGTTAGCCGAGGCTTTTATATTTCAAACAACATTTCGAGACCGAGGAGGTTATTCTGCATCATTCACGATAACAAGGACTTTATTTCTATTCTACCAAGGGCGATAAATACGGCCGATTGTTTCCTCTATAGAGAAACGAATTAGGTCACCATGTCTCGATTACGCTGTTCTATTTAACACCAGAGAGAAATTTTGTTGACTTACCTATATATGGAATGCAGATGATTTGAGCTTTCGTTGCATTAAAAATAGTCTTGTTTACTTACAAATTTGTTCGTAATATGTATTGATCAGTTAAAATGAATATACAAAAACAAAATCATGTTCTTGTTTTACTGCTAAAATCACGTTGTTTAATGTATAGGGAGGTCCGTGGAATAGCCCCGCTTAGCTATAAAAACCGACATTCATCAGCAACTTGATGCAATTTACAGTGTTTATACTGCAAAAGACGACACATCGATGCGGTCTAATCAAGTATTTCATTCTACAGCCAAACATGCATTGGAATTGTTCAGATTTGATACGTGTTTCTGATCTGATAATTTTTTGATGACGTTCGTGATCTATTGGAGAATAATGTCCGGCGGCTTCCTTTCATGTTTTCAATAACCGTGGTAGAATGTTCAACATTCTTCAGTAAAACAGCGTAAATTATCAACTTTTTATAAAATTTGTAAAATTGACAATAGAAATAATTATTTAAAATAAAGGATATGGAGATAACGAGAAGTATTCCATATCATGTGGAAATGTAAGCAGAAGTAATGAAAATTGAAAAATGACGATCACTTATGACACATCACTGTAGCAGTGCATCAGTGACAAAATCTTGGGAAACTAATGATATTATCATAGTACAGACATGTATAAAAGGTTTTGAAATCATTGCAAGGAACGTATAAGAGTTCTTAAAATCATTACTTAATCAATTTCTTTCCCAACAGCCTGCTTCATTTTCAAAATTAACCATACTCATGGCGTCATTTTAAGGTTCGAGCCCGATGGCGTTTATGACGCTATATGCAATGAGAGTCAAATAGAACTGGATAAACTAAACATTCAAAGAAAAATATCCCCGGGGAAAAATAAATGATCATCCATGGATTAAATGACATCAACATAGACAGGAATGGGTTCAAAATAATTAAGCAAAGACTCCTCAATGGTGACGACTTTTTCTTCTTTCAGCGAAACACTTGCTTTGAATTTGAGGTAATGTCCGCTTTCTTGAACTGGTGTTTCAATGGTACCTGTGTATATGTGCGGGGATTCTCGTCGTTGATGGCTAAACACTATATTGATTTTTTTTCTATTATTTCAAGAAACTTCTCTGTATGATCAAAAGGTTTAAATGTAGAAATCACAAGTGGTATCATAAATAAAAATAAGTACTTTATATTTACTTGTCATATTTATACTATATTCGAACCTATTGTGTTTCCAGTTAAATAATTTTGTTTCAATTTAAAATCAAGAAGCTAATATTTCTTTTTATTGAAAACAGACATTATGAACTATTACTGATAAATGTACAATTTCAGCATACGTTTTATCTAATACTCACACCATTATCTTTAATTTTATTCCCAGTAAAGCTATGGTTATTATGAACAGTCCATTCAATATCAATATCAATTATAATATATCCATCTGAGAGCAAACATTATTCTAGATAAGAATATCCCTTGAATACCTGAATGATTATAATTAAGTGAACATAAGTTGTGAAATGTCAAATAGGAGAGCAGTAGTGAAATAAAAGTATACTAGACTTAAGAAAATTCTGTTTTCGCCATCTATGCGAGGTCTATTCCTGATAAGAGCGCAAAATAACCCGGTATATGTACATGAACGTTACTGTAATTTTTACTTCCGATGATACATGTTAAAATTAACCTAATTTCTTTGAAATTAAAGGAAATATATTCTTACATATTTCCATTTCCAATTGTTTTCCCTATGATAAACACTACAAAAGTGTGTCTTGTTAATTTCATCATAATAACCTGTGGTATGTATATTTCTGTATTACTGAAAGGTCAAGTGTCAACCTGCATGTATATCACTGGCGTATGAATACACTGAAGAAAAATATAGTTGTTTTGTTTAATGTGTTTACAAAGTAATAAGATGTAATATTTCTTTTTACAAATGTAATAAAAAATGAATTATAGAAAAATTTGTTGAACTTTAAGTAGATTACTGGTCTTATTCAAATACATAAAGTAATTCTGTTGAACGTCTGCTAAAATCACACAGTCTTCTGCAACTCCCCATCATTTCCAAAAACACAGTCAATAAGCATGGAGCCTGACAAGTCCTACGGAAAATTTAGTGTTCTTCCCCCAGTCACTGATCGACCAGAGTTAACCAATGAAGATGCGTAGTTATTGCTTTCACTTATATCTGGTAACAAATCCGAGCTAGTTCCAACTGAACTGAAACCGAAGCCCTCTGACCATGATGTAGCTGGCATGGATCCCTTTCATGATGATGATGACTCTCTTCTTACTTCAATTACTGCATCGGACCTGATACCACATCTATCGCAAACTCCACTTCAAATGGTTCTTCAGCAGCCTGCAGATCCTGGTTTGCCTCCCCCTGAAACACCAAGTACAAGTTATAGATTTAGAAAAGTTACAGAGAAGCAGATAAAAACTTATCAAGAAATGACTCAATCCAAAAACACCAAAAACACACCAAATGGGGCATCAAAATTTTAGATGGTAAGTTATTTATTTTGCAGATTCTTGAATACAAATTTATAAACATAATACATGTGCAGATTATAGTATAAATATATATACATGTAAAACATGTAAAAAAAGGATCACAGATAAAAAAATCAATTTAATTTTTTAAAAATTAAAATAAAACAAATAATAAGCAAATAAAATAATAAATATACAAAAAGTATGATAAAAATATAGAAAAATTAAACAATTAAAGGTAACGAGTAACATAATGCATGTACATGTATTGTAGATTGGTATTTGGAAACTTTCCACGACAACATTGACCTTTCATCAGTAAGAGCTGAAGAATTAGCCTCTAAACTTGAACGGTTCTACTGTGAAGCTAGGCCTAGCAAAGCCAAAACACCAAATGAAGAGTACCATAAAAATACTTTGAAAGGCATACGTGCAGCAATCAACCGTCGGTTATCAGACCTGAGAAGGGATATTGATATTGTCAATGATAACCTTTCAAAATGGCAAACAAATGCTTGACTGGCCTTCTAAAACAAAGGATGACAGAGGGAACATCTCGCCCCACAAAATACAAGGAAATAATTCCCAAAACTGATCTAAAAAATCTCATCCTTTCTACAGACTGCATATTCCTCACCAATAAATCTTCGCTTGGCGATGTTGTATACCATAGCAATTCACTTTGTATCGCGAGGACTTGAGTTTCACCACCAACTTAAAAGCGACTCGTTCGAATTCAAAACCGACGAAAATGGCTTGACCTATGTCTGTCTCACTCACGAAACAAAGCAGAAAAACTACCAAGGTGGACGTGGACTAGACAAACATGAGATGATGGCTGACAAACGAATGTACGAAACACAATCAAAAATTTGCCCATTTCAAATGTTGAAGTTCTTCCTATCAAAGACTCCTATTACTGCTACAAATCTGTTTAACAAATGTGTGAGAGAGGCAATCTCGAATCCCGATCAAGAACTTCGGTACAACACTCACTCACTTTCCCAGAAAGCGTTTGTAAATTTCTTACCTGATATTTGCAAAATGGCAGGATGTCAACGCTACACAGCACACAGCCTCCGAGCAACAGCAATCCAAACAATGAATGATGCTGGGTTTGAGGCGCGCCACATCATGTACATGTCCGGTCATAGGAATGAGGCTTCAATCCGGAGTTACTGCAGGGAGCTATCCTCGGATCAAAAGCAAGTTGCCAGTGCAACGTTATCAACCATCACAAATCGCCACAGCGTCATCCGACATCGTCCCCCAGTCCTTTAATTCCGACCGACATATCGCTATAGCCACGCCATCATCTGCCATCGTCACTCAGTCATTTAATTCTGACAACTCAACCTCCTCCTCTTTTCTATCATCAACGCAGACCGGTTTCCTCACCAGCTCCCGTTTTATTAACTGTACTCTGATTTTCAACATGGCGGCGGACAAGTAGCTTACACGTGTTTATGCTTCCGCTAAATCTATTATCTAGGTCACATATTCATCATGACAATTAACAAGATTTCTTTGTTCACGATTTAAATTCTATTGTTGCTTATTTCATAAATGTCAATATTTGAATACAGTAATTAAAAAAATCATTTTATTTGTTTCGTGTTTTATGGGACTATTTTTTAAAGTAAAATTTGACGTCACAGGTCGGCCAATATAAAACATGATGGATGCCTTGTGTATTTCAAATCTACGAAGACTGGACGATTACAAAACAAATAAAAAATGAAAATATAAGGAATCACTGTCTAGTTTTGAGGGTATGCCAGGGATCACCAATAGTGGGAAACATGGGATAATTTTAGCATAACGGGCTTCGCCCGTTATGCAAATTATCCCATGTTTCCCACTATTGTTGATGCCCTGGCATACCTTCAAACTAGACAGTGATTCCTTAATTGACTTTAGTGGAAACGTCATAAATGAATCAGCAGAATGTAGATAATTGCAGTCATTTCCTAGACCTGTATAAAAATTAAACAACTGTATAAGAATTAAACAACTGTATAAGAATTAAACAACTGTACATGTATAAGAATTAAACAAAAAAGAATCTTATTTTGTATTGTTTTATGAACTTTGAGATTGAATGCTGTTCGTTATCGACATATCCTTTAATAATGATTTAAAAAAAATCTCTATCTTTTGTTAGTATTTCAAAAACAAAAAAGAGATACACATATACTTGTAGTATGTTAAAATACAAGAAACATATATTGACGCAAGCGTCAAAAATCGGCCACAAACTAATTAATTGTTTCTTTTATGAAGCAACTTAAGACTGAAATGGTGATCTGTTTTTAAAATATCTTATATTTACCTGTTATATCTTTCTGACATTAATCACTTGTGCACTTAATTATATAATGCAGGTTCATTATTACATGTATAAGCAAAGTACCCCTTGTCCCCTGCGTCAACAAACCGTGGACCTGTATAATTAGGAGGCATTTACATTAAAAATTTAAAACTAAAGTTTAATGTAATCTACAACTAAATATGCAGTGTAGTTTTAATTAATTATGCGGGACTCTTGCTTTCTCTTTGAGGAAAAAAACTAAACTCACTCTCGATCCGCCACTGCATTTCTCCTCTTTCAGTTTCTTTGAGTTGTAGAGGGAAAATTCTTGGCAATTGTAAAACGTGCATTATCCTCGTCTGCTAGGCCAAATCTTGTAATATTCTGTAGCCTTTTAGTTCTTTTGATGAATTAACATTTAACCATATTTTTGAAAATGTTTATATATTTACAGGTGTACACGTCATTTTAAAATAAATACGTACAACAAATCCTGCTTTAATAGAGAAAGTAAAATTGTGCAATATACGTAACGCGGTCTTTGCTTTACACTATGCCCAACACATGTCCTAATTTTCTCCGCACCTCAAACACCCCTACTAATGTTATTGTGATTTAAATTCAAGACACGTGGTTAAGATTGATCTATTCAAAGGTTATAGGGTAGAACCGGTTTTATAAATAAAATTGGCAGTAAACATGATATTGCTATAGCCTGTTTCTTTAGAAAACATGTCCTGTAATAAATGTTTCCAGACCTTTCTGAAAGACTTTCATGATTTTCAACAGAAAAGGGTGGCTAAAGGAGGGGTTGTTAAAATAACAACATATCTTATAATACTTTTTGGCGAAAATTAGAGCTCACTAGTGACCGATTCGCTGGTAAAAAATGTGCATTATCATCTTCACTGACAAACCTTTGTTTGCCTTATATGACTATTGTTATAAATGCGCACAGAGGATCTTACCACGAGCAACTGACCATGCATTCGTTGAATGAATAGCAACGTTTACGCTAAATACATGTTTACATTTTACTTCGAACACGTAGTTCAGGTCAATCTACGATCACGTTAATGGACTTCAAAATAAAAAAAGTTCTTACGAACAAAATACAAAGATAAGAAACTGAAAGATGTTACGGGTGTTTTTAATTTGTTGTTAAATGGTAAAAAATGTTTAATAAAATGCAGTTTGCGTCTAGTTCAGAACACCAGCGCTTCAAGGGTAAGGAAAACGAGCAGCATTTCTTATTCATGT